CCTCGCGGCCCGCCCACTTTCGCAGCCCGCCCGCCCGCTAGCTGCCCACTTCGCGGCCCACCTCTCAACCGCTGTTAAGAGGGGACCAGAAGTGGGAATGGGAGAGGCAGAGCAGGGGCATTGCAAGCCCTGCTGAAAGCGGTGAAAACGGCATCGGTGCTGACCTTGCCAACGAAGAGGACCCGTTCGTGCTATATACGGACTGGAGCAGTGCGGGTATGGGGGCAATCCTGTGTCAGAAGAGGGAAGGCGAGGAGAAAGTCGTGGCTTTGCCACCGAAGCTGTAATCCGATGACGCCTCCCTCTAAGCGCCCGCGGGTTGCGGAGACGGCTACCATGGCCGCGGCCAAGCTTGTCTCTGACATCATCAAGGATTGCCACGCGGATGCGATGGCAAAGTTGGAGAGGCTCGTCCGCGCCTGGATGCAGCAGGACGCCGAGATTGCCCGCGCCCGCAACTAGTGGCCGGCCCCACCCCACCGCCACCAAACCATCAACGGAGCCCCCGCGGATGCGGCCACACAGCCCGCACCGACCGCCACCGAAGGCGACGACGGAGTCTGGTTCCGTCGCGGTGAGCAAGGTGGTGGCGGAGCTACTCCGGACGAGGCCGAGGAAGTGTGGGTTCGCGGCGACGCTGTGTAAGGTAGGAAGACTCCAACGCTTCACCGAACCTCTTCCGCCTTTTACGGAGTGGGTCCTGGTTGCACGGAACGGCAGGCTCCCACTTGAATTCTGCTGCTGCGCCGCGGGTCCACCACGGATCCCGGTTCCGTGGCAAGACACGCCTCACCTCCCCCATCGTCTCACACAACAAGACGCCCCTGCAAGGACGCGCCATAGCTTGCAGTCATTGCGGCCTGCGAAGAGCCTCCACCTGCCTTTCAAGGCGCCGATCAGCAGCGCTCCCACCGCCATGCGCGTCGCGCTCTGGCAGTAATTGAAGCACTGCTGCCCCAATCCTCTATTAGGCCTTCGCGGGGTGCATGCAGGGGGGTTAGGCAGAACTCCCGAAGGGGGTAGGCTGCATCACCGACTATTTGATACGGCACAATGTTGTCGTTTTGCAACCTCTCATATAACGCACTGTCCATGAATACGCGTTGATCGTGTGCGCTACCAGGGTATCCAATAAGGAAGTCCCAGATGATGCCGCGCGCATCACACGTCACGGCGTATGCGGACTTTCGTGTGTAGTACTCTTGCCTGTGCCCCTCCATCCCTTTATGTGTACGTGTGTCCCATCAATAGCCCCCACTACTACTACAGGGCAGGTACCCCTTTCACGGCGGCGCGAACTCCTCCTCGCCATTTCGTCAAGGTCGTCGCGGGTGGGGAAGTGCACCCACTGTTGTTTGAAGACCATGGCGAAATGCATCAGCCACACCATCGACGAGCTCGTGGCACAATGTCTTCGACAACCCGAATAGGTGAGAAAGGTCTATGTACGAGGGTGCACTCGCCAGGTACTTGATCGGCACAAGGTTTGCCACTTCGTGGGTAATGTAGTAACGGTCCACGTAAGGCTGCATGTAGTACTTCATGCCCTCAACCACGTAGTCGAGAATCGCCCTGTTAATAGGCATTGAGACACAAGTGTCAAGGCAGGAATGTACCCTAAGCCTAAATCTTAAGCCCTAGTGGCTTATAATCTTGACACAATTCTCGACCCTGAGCAATCATAGTTAACTACTTTTCAACAATGAGCAATCAGAGTAGTCTAGTGGAAAATATGCACCCATAATACAGGAGGGAAAATTTCCCCGGAATCAGGGAGGCTTAAAATGAAACGACAGCCCTGTTCGCGACTTCAATTCGCCTTTCGATTTCAACCGCCAGCTCGACATTTGGGAAATTCAACGACTAACATCCAACCATTTCAAAATCCGCCTGGTCAACTGGTCAACCTCACGTCAGCTCGAAAGTCAACGGGCTTCTACACCATGCGATCAGTTTCAACCGGAGATCTGCAGTTTTCACGCTACTGCAAGACTCGGCTACGTATAAGGGCACCTTATTTAGAAGGTGGGAGAGTGTAATGAATATACATTCATTACTGTAGAGGCTGCTCCTAGCGAGGACAGCCCCGAGCACTTCGCGTCAGTGTGGCTCGGCCAATACTTTCGCACAGAGCCAATTCCGAGTCGCCCGCACCGATCGCGACACTTCCGAGCCACGCACATCTAGAGGTTCTCGCCTAGGTAGTTTCACCCTATATATTCTCGCTTTCTTCATTGTTTCGTCATTATGTAATCACGTTCTCTTTATAGAAGTCTTCCGTGCACTATGTTTTAGTAAAACTTATAACGGACCCGTACCTGCGTAACGTACACATTTCAAGGTCTTGTAACAAGGACAATAATAGAGATATTTCCGTCGCCGGAGCGTCCAGGCAAGGAATCCGTGAAAGAAGCTAAGCCTCCACGGGTTAGCTCGTGCAGAAAACTCCTCACGCCACGATTCCCCTTCCCTCTCGCTAGGGTTTTCTCCCCTTCCTTACGCCTGGAAACGACTAGCGGGCCCGTCGCGCTGCTATTTCTTCCCGTCGCGGCGCGTAGCCATTTTTTACGCGATGCGACTTCATGACGTTGCCTGGAACACCAAGATCATCGACTATTTGCATCCCCAACGCATCTGCAACCCTCCTAGCCGCGGCAGGTACCATTCATCCAGTGCGTCATCAACTTCTCTCTCTCACCCGTCACGCCAGTCTCGTACCCGCCAGTCCTAAAAAACTCGATCCTGCGCAGGATCGATCGCAGGATCGAGGTTCCGCGTCCTTATGTGCGTGATCACACTACCCTTGCACCCCACAACGAACGAAGAAGCTGGAGCTGACGACGTGGGAGAGAGGAGCGAGCGTGCAACACAGCCACGGCGGTAGCGAGTGTAAGGCTTGAGTGGGCCACAACGGTTGAGGAGGCGACGGGCGCCGGATGGATTTGGTGGGGTTCGGGTTGGAGCGCGTGGCGAGCCTGGAGGACGGCAGCGACGCCGACGACTGGGAGGAGCCTGCCCGCCACGCCGCCAACGGCGCCGCGGAGGCGACCGGCAACGACTCTGCTGAAGCCGCGTCTCTGGCCGGCACGGACCGCCGCGACTCCCCCAGTCGCGACGACTCACAGTCGCAATCGCCGTCGCGGTCGTCGTCGTCGCAGTCGTCTAGATCGTCAACGTCGTCGCGGTCATCGCACAGCGACGGGGAGAGTGAAGATCGAGGCGCTGGGGACGAGAGGAGGGAAGGCAATGGGGAGAGAGAGGAGGAGAAGGAAGGCGGGTATGACGGGGAAGGGCTGGGAGGGGATGTGAAGGGCAGCGGTGGCGAGGAGTCGACGGGACGAGACCCGCGGGGCGATGCGCGCGAGGGCGGCGAGCAGGGGGGGATGGCGGATGGGGGCACGGGCTGGGCGTGACCCTGGACTTTGACGAGGACGACGGGAGTGACTATAACGAGTCGAGTGATGGCGAGGGAGGTGGGACGGGGAGTGACAGAAGCGGAGAGGAGTGGCTTGTAAACGAGGGGGGGAGCAGGAGCATGCGAGTGGCGTGAAGCGGAAGGAGCGAGGGGGGGCAGCAGAGGGGATGAGCGGCCGGCGAAGCGGATGGAGGCAGGTGAGGGCGGGGGAGGCGGGGCGGAGGCGGAGGGGCTGCTGGTGCACGTGGTGGCGGACCACTACAGCCGGCGCGACAACCAGCAGTGGCACGAGCGCGAGGCGAGTCCCATCATCCACCTGAAGAAGCTCAACAACTGGATCAAGTCCGTGCTCATCCGCCTCCACACCCACCCCAACTGTGGCGCGCACGTGCTGGACCTGGCGTGCGGCAAGGGCGGCGACCTGACCAAGTGGGCGCGCGTCAACGTGGGCTTCTACCTGGGCGTGGACGTGGCGGAGGGCTCCGTGCACGACGCCATGGCGCGCTACAATGGCGACTCGCACCGCTCCTTCGCCGGGGGAGACGGGGCGGATGGCGACCGGCGGCAGATGCGGTTCCCGGCGAAGCTGGCATGTGCGAACTGCTTCGGCGTGGCGCTGGGCCGGGAGTTGCTGCCGTGGGCGCCGTTTTACATCTGCTCCACGCAATTCGCACTGCACTACTCCTTCGAGACCAAGCAGCGGGCTGCGCAACATCGCGGCGCTGCTGCGGCCGGGCGGCATGTTCATCGGCACCATCCCTGACGCCAACATTTGGACGTTGTTTAGCACTATTTCTTCACACATTCAAGTAGCCATCCTATTACCTTGCCATAGGAACTCGTCTGACCTCGTTCGCCCAACTACGCAACACGTGATGCTTGTTTGTTCGTATGCCGGCCTGAATCTGTGCAAGGATAGGCATGTGCGCAACATGTCACCGTTTCAACAATTGGATGTCGTTTTTAGCATTTTTTCTTCACACATTCAGATAGTACATCCTATTGGCTTGCCGTATGAACTGGTTTAATCTCGTTCGCACAACTATGTAGCATGTGACGCTTGTTTGTGCGTTTGCTGGCCTAAATTTGTGCAAGTATAGGCCTGTGCGCAACACGTCACTATTTCAACGTAGTAGTAGCAGTAGTAGTAGTTGTAGTAGTAGTAGTAGTAGTAGTAGTAGTAGTAGTAGTAGTGTCAAAGTAGTAGGAGAAAGTTTAGAAGCAGAAAGAGGGTTTGGACTAGCAGCAGTTGAGATACAAATAGCAAACCCTAGATTGGGTTGTACTCGCTACAACATTATGACACACCCCCATAGCCAAAGTGGGGTGTAATCAGCACAACAAGCAGTCATAATAGTAGTTCACATTTTATGAGCAAAGCTAGAGGCAGTCACAGAGGGCAAGTGAGGAGGAGGAGGGCTGGCGAGAGGAGAGAAGAGTGGAGGCGACGACTGAAGCTGCAGACACACGGGCAACAGACGGCTCTGGTGCAGCTCTAGTGGCTACCGGGAGCAAGGGCCCCGGAATACAGGAGTAACAGGCTCTGCGTCTGATCAGCAGCGACAGGAGCAACGGACCCACGGGCGACAGGTGCAACCGGCTCTCTGAGCTACCGGTGGCTATCAGAACCCCCGGAATACAGGCGCTGCAGACGACACGACGGCGGCCTCCGCTCAACCTCCCCCAACAGTCCCACACCCCTCGACACACACCCCCTGCTTCGCCCCTAGCTCCACTCCCCTTTCACCCCCCTAGTACCACTCCGTCGGCTCCCCACACACCCACCCCCCTGAGCGGCAGCTGCAGCAGCGGGAGACGGAGGAGGAGGAGAAGGAGGGGACGGGGCACACAACCGGCACCCCCACACCCGCCACCCCCAAACCCTAACACAGGAACGCGGGCAGTAGCGGGGGTGGGGCGCCGACAGAAGCTTGGGGGACGGACGAGGCGCGCGCACGGGTCTGCCGCAGGCGGGACGAGGCGCGCGCGGGCTGCCCGGGCCGCGCGCGGGCCTGGCGCAGCCCGTACGGGCCGCGCGCGGGCCTGGCGCAGCCCGTACGGGCCGCGCGCGGGCTGTACGGGCCGCGCGCGGGCCTGGCGCAGCCCGTACGGGCCGCGTGCCTGGCGCAGCCCGTACGGGCCGCGCGCGGGCCTGGCGCAGCCCGTACGGGCCGCGCGCGGGTCCCAGGGGCGCTTCGACGGGCGACGGGGACGTTTCGACGGGCGACGGGGGGCACTCCGACGGGCGACGGGGGGCACTTCGACGGTGGGAAACCGCCGCGCGCCTCGGGGCGCACGGTAGGCAAAAACCCGCCGCACGCCCCGAGCGTACGGCAGGAAGGAGGCGTCGCGCGACCGAGGCGCGCGACAAGTAGAACAGCAGCGGAAGCATTAGGTGGTGGGCCCACCCACAGGATCGACCCAAGGGGGTCGACCTGCTCTGATAGCATGTCAGAAGTAGTAGGAGAAAGTTTAGAAGCAGAAAGAGGGTTTGGACTAGCAGCAGTTGAGATACAAATAGCAAACCCTAGATTGGGCTGTACTCGCTATAGAGTACCCCACTGCAGGCTAGACAAATACAACATTCTGACAAGTAGTAGTAGTAGTAGTAGTAGTAGTAGTAGTAGTAGTAGTAGTAGTAGTAGTAGTAGTAGTAGTAGTAGTAGTAGTAGTAGTAGTAGTAGTAGTAGTAGTAGTAGTAGTAGCAGTAGCAGCAGCAGCAGCAGCAACAGCAGCAGTAGTGGTGGTAGTAGTACTACTACTATTACTACTACTAATACTCATATTACTACTAGTAGTGCTGACATGTGCTGTCCTTGTTTATGATTCTTCAACAATTGGATAAATTAAGTTTATATTTTGTGCTAAAGCATAACTAAGTGTTATTATTGAGTGAGGTAATACGCGACCTTCATGTTTTTGGAATTGATTTTCTCGTTGACAACGCATAACTCTGGCTAGATGGAAGCCCTTAGTTTGCTAGCGTGTTACTGAGTTTGACTGTGTTACTGAGTCGACGGTTCTCCGGGTTCACCGCGTTGACACATCAATTTCCGCCAATCTAAACCACGACACAGTACAGGTAATGTTGTTTAACTTCAATTTTAGACCTGTCAAATCTTGACCATCCACAATTGCAGCCTTCCCCTGTCGAACACCTCTTCCATCTCGATTCTCCCCCCCCCCCCCCCCCAACCCACACCCACACCAGCCTCTGTCACCTCACCACACTCACAAGTGTATATCTGAGTGCATTTCTATTCTGTGCTTCAACTTTTTGAATGCTCTCGTTTCTCCTGTCGGCCCATTTCACTCCTTAATTTCCACCCCGCCACGGAATCGTCCCGGTTTCGTCGATCTGCCATGTGCCAGGCGTCGCGCTGTTCTTAACGTCGTCTTCTGGTCTAGTAGTGTTCGACATTTCTCTTCTGTTTTCATTTCTTGTTCCTAGTTACATTATTGTTCCTACTTAAGTTTCTTGATATTTTCCGTATTCTGTTCGTACTTAAGTTTCTTTTTTTTTTTTGTCAGAGCGTGACTACCGGAAGCATTTTCTCTCTCTCTCTCTCTCTCTCTCTCTCTCTCTCTCTCTCTCTCTCTCTCTCTCTCTCTCTCTCTCTCTCTCTCTCTCTCTCTCTCTCTCTCTCTCTCTCTCTCTCTCTCTCTCTCTCTCTCTCTCTCTCTACATTCCCTTTTTCCCTTCCACTAATCCCACGTCCCAGTTTTCCCGCGTTCCTCTTTCCCAATCCCCCCTCAACCCGATTTTTTGTTCGCAGAGAGCACTGGCGTGGCGCCGTCGCTCAGGTGTACCTCTTGCGCGCACTCTCGCTCGCTCCCGTGCACCTCGCGCGCGCGTTTGGTCGCTCCCGTGCACCTCGTCCATGCGCTCTCGCTACGGTGCACCTCGACGAGTGGCTTCAGCAGCGGATGTCGCTAGTGGCGGCAGACGAGCTGAGGACGACAGTCGCTCAGTGCGGTACGTTCGGGTGGCGCAGGGGTTCGACTTGCGCTGGTTCAACCCGAGGTGAGAATGAGAATGAGGCTACGGAGAGAGAGGGGAGGAGGGGGGAGGGGTAAGGGGAGGGGGGATGGGGGGAAGGGAAGAGAGGGGATGTTTCACATTATGCGTGCGTTGTACGTCATCCGTCGTTCGCCAACCACATGCTTTTAAAACCCCCTCCTCCTCGTGCCCTCTCCGCCCCCACTTTCCCTTTTCTTTCCCCTCTTCTTGCCCCTCTCCCAGGTCGTATATGCGGGCATCGGCGCATCTCGGCAGGTTCGTTGCTTTTGCACAGTACGTGCTTTTTTTTATGCATGAGATCCACTACATCATTCCATCATACTGATCTCACTACGCTTATGTTGTGTTCTGTATTTTTCATCACTCCCTGCATATGTCAAACGTGCAGCCCGCAGAGTTTGGAAGAGATCTGACGGCGTGGAAGTATGGTTTGGGTTAGGAACATTTGACATTGTAACCTCTGTTTCTAATGGCTCTTTGACGGGGCAGTTGTTATTTAGGCCTGTGTGTACTGTTTCTTAGTGCAGTTGTAATTTAGGCCCGTAAAAAATATTGACACCATGAGACATGGTATTCTATAATTGGCTGCATTTCCTGCAGAGTACACTCTGGATCATGAAGTTTATTTTAACAGCCCTACCTATTTCCATATAATGAGGAAACAATTTAGATCGAATCAGGATTTGCAGTAACGATTTTTTTTTTTTACGAAATCCATTTAAAAGAAAAGAATTGTGAATAATATATGAACCAGTCTTCAAAGTGGCCCATTAACGAAACATGTACACTGTTATCTAAATTAATCGAACAGTATTAGCACAAATTCCTGAAAAAGCATTCCATGTTCAACAAACTGAAAACAAAACCATCCGATAACCCCTATGTACAATATTGAGTGACACGGAGTGAGTGTCAGAATTAGAACCAATAATAAAACAAGATGCGGCACAGTGCTATTGGCCGATGAGCTGCGCGGGAAATTTCGACGCTCAATTTCGAAGCGTGAGCCCCTGGGATAAACGAATCTAATGCATTGCCGAGCCTTATCTGACTTTACCTCGATTGGTTCCCATAATTTGGAAAATCGCAGCCTGCGACCTTGAGTGAGTCGCGTCAAAAAGCAAGTTCACCAATAATTTGTGCTCCAGTTAGTTTTCAGCCCTCGAAAGTTAGTTTCGGAACTCGTCAATTTTCGGATGGGGAAGCGCGCGAGGGGGGAGCACGCGAGGGGGAGCACGCGAGGGGGGAGCACGCGAGGTGGGAGCACGTGCAGTGGAAGGTGGTGTTTGTGAGCGGCTGCATTTGGTGAACTGTGGGCGGTGGGCATGTGACACGGGAGACGGCACGTGGAGAGCATGAGGTGTCGAGCCTGCACCTAGCGCTTGCAGGCGCGGTGCTTTTGTTAGTGTTGAGCAGGTAATTCAAACAACCAGCTGCGCCACGCCGTGTGCCCCCTGCTGCATACCTCATGTTAGCATGTCCCACACATACACACAACCACCACACCTCTTGTGAGCTCAGCCAAGCTTCACAAGCCCCCCCTCGCCTTCATCTTTTCTATGCGTGCTTCTCCTCAACCCTCTCGCCCCTCATGCTCATCTCACCCCTCTAGTTCCCCCCTTCCCCCCAGCTGGTAGGTGCTGATGGCGAAGCACCATGACGGCTTCTGCCTGTGGCCCTCGCGCCTCACCAACCACTCCGTGCGCCGCTCGCCCTGGAAGGCCGGCCGGGGGGACGTCGTAGCTAACGTGGCGGCGGCGGCTCGGGCGGCGTGTGTGGGGTTGGGGTTGTATCTGTCCCCATGGGACCGGAACGAACGGGCGTATGAGGAGGGCGCTGCGGCGTACAACGCCTTCTACGAGGGGCAGCGAGGGAGCTGCTCACCCGGTCAGTGCATGGGGGGGGGATGAGGCGTGCTGACATGGCGGGTGGGGGAAGATGGTGGGAGCTGCTGGGGATGGGGAGCGGGGCAGCATGATGGATGGCAGTGGGGCAGCATGATGGATGGCAGTGGGGCAGCATGATGGATGGCAGTGGGGCAGCATGATGGATGGCAGTGGGGCAGCATGATGGATGGCAGTGGGGCAGCATGATGGATGGCAGTGGGGCAGCATGATGGCTGGCAGTGGGGCAGCATGATGGATGGCAGTGGGGCAGCATGATGGCTGGCAGTAGGGCTGGGGCGTATCGTATGATGGCTGGGCAGAGTCTTGTGAGCAGTAGGGCGGTGGTGAGGGCAGTGGTGAGGGCAGTGGTGAAGGGATGAATGGGGAGGGTATTTTTGTGTGATGCAAGCATATGCATTCACGTCTGTCTGCCTCCCATCATGTGTTTGTGCGTTGCATGCGTGGTGTGAGCGTGTGCAAGAATTTGTGTTTTGTGCGGTTTGGATTTCCTGAGTGTGTGTGAATGTTATTTGGCCTAAGCAAATATCTGAAGTGATTCATCTGCTCAAGAGCTTTCCGACGAGCCAAGAATCGTCGCGATCGGAGCAACATCAAGAAAGTTACGGACATTGGAGTTCGTATGCTTTCTGTACTTTGGTTGCGGCGACTTTGGGAAGTTGTGGGAGTGACTCAATATGGGGTACAGACTTTTGGGGTTGGGAAATTCGGTCCCATCACTGTAGATGCTGCCATGTGGTTGGGAAAAGCCAAACCAGGTTGGCAAGTGTGGCCAAGTGGGGTGAGGTGGATTGTGGAGGTTGGGAAAATGACAAGGGTGAAAGTTGGGTTGCCTATTGAGAGGGAAATTGTGTGGCATGGGGTTTCCTTTGGTTGGGGACTCCTCTTGGACCTTCCCTCTCGTCCTCCTCTTCCCTCCTACCTGGTTTAGTGCTACTCTAACTCTCTTGTGTGAAACTTTGTGGAACTTATGAGTTAATTTGATTGAGTTAAGCTTGTGGCAGCTTACCCCCTAGTGCGCCGAAATTGATAACTCGAGATATACTCCATCATTTGATACGATTCAAATTGGGAAAGATAGCCTTGGTCAAGGGCTACAACATACTCGATTTTGGCGGAATTCTAACGGTTAGTTTTTCGTCGACGGCGTTTCTTGTGAAGTCGCGGTTTCTGTCCAGAAATTGAGACCAACGATTTTGTGATATTTCGGCACCTAATCTTCATAGACTCGGTCCTCAATCTCTAACAGGTATGAGTTCAGTGCATTGCAATCATGTGCCCTTCCTTCTCACACCTGCACTTCTTTGCCGCCCCTAACAAACTCCTCTCCCTTTCCCCCCTCAGCCTCTCAGTCTACTCCTTCTACCACCCTCCCCTGCACCGTACCTTCCCTCCTTGTGTTTCTCACTTGCTCCCCTCTCTCTTTTTCTTTCTTTTTGCAACTTGCAACGTGCAGTTCTCATCTCTCATTGTCCCCATCATCTCTCCGTCTTCCCGCATCCCCCCTCTTCCCGCATCCCCCCTCTTCCCGCGTCCCCCCTCTTCCCCACCACCAGCGCCGCTCCACTCATGCCCGTGGTGCAGGTGCGGTGCAGCGCACGCATGGGAGGAGCAGCTCGACCTCAAGCCAAGGGGGACCGCCGCCCATGACCTACCACACTGCAACGTGGCAGGCTCTCATTTGCCAGCTGCAGCCGGCAGCAGCGGTGTTTTCAGCGCAGGGCCCCGACATGTGGTGGGCCGGCAACGAGCGCGGCGAGGCGAGCGAGCCGTGCTGGGGGATGGTGAACGGCAGCTCCTTGACCCTGGAGGGGTGGGACACCCAGTGAGTGCCCACGGTGACTGGGGATGCACTATGAGGCGAGTGAAGGGTGATTGGGGTGGGACCGAGGGGCGATATGGGCCGCGAATGGGGCGCGAATAGGGCGCGAGTGGGGGGCGAATGGGGCACGAGTGGGGGGCGAATGGGGCGCGAATGGGGGATGAATGGGGGGCGAATGGGGGGCGAATGGGGGGCGAATGGGGGGCGAATGTGGGGCGAATGGGGGGCGAATGGGGGGCGAATGTGGGGCGAGTAGGGGGGCGAACAGGGGGCGAGTGGGAGGACAAGTTGGGGGCCGAGTGGGGGTTCAGTGAGGGTTGAGTGGGGGCTAGTGAGGAGAAAGTCATTGCCCTTTTTCTTGTTTCTGTCGAAGTGAAAGGCCCCGCCCTCGTTTGGGCGTAGGCATTCTCTGCGACGACGTGGTGAATTCGACGAAGTGATCGTCGCATTGGAGCAGCCCGTCCTCTGAAACCGCGGGTGGTTTTCGAGGAAGGTTGTCCTCTGATTCACCAGCCCGTCAACGAGCTCTGGTCGACGGGGTGCTGTTCGACGAGCTCGTCTTCTGATTTGCTTCTGGGTCACACGATCTCTGACGGACGGGGTGCTGTCCGAGGAGCCGCGTTCTCTGATCGAAGGGCGCTGTTCGGCGAGCGTCAGCTCGGCGAACTGGTCGGCCGAATTCGCGCGACTGCGAAACTCTGCGAGGGCATGCGAAATTCGCTCAGGTGGTCCTTAGCGAAATTCGACCTGCGAAATGGCATCACGTGCTCGACGGCGGACATCTGACGAAACCGTCGGAGCGTTTTCTACCTGGCACCTGCGCAATGTCTCTGACGGTGCAACCGTCTACCTGCACCTACTCGGCAGGTGCACACCTGCGCAGATATTCACCTGCGAATGCAGCGCTGGCAGGCCGCCCTGCTGCAGCGCTGGCATGTCGCCCTTCTGCTACGCTGGCAGACCGCTCTGTTTCAGCGTTGGCGAACCGCTCTGATGCAGTGCTGGCAATTCGCCTTGCAGAATGCTTGCTAGGGATTGCAATGCCATTCCAGAGATATCACTTTGCATGCTCATTCTTGTACTCTAATTCTCAATTTTCAATGTACTTTCAATTTCCTTAGTGGAAACTCTTGCCAAATCTCTCTGTGAACAGAGCAAGTAGTGAGAACTCTGTTAGAACGTCACTAGAGCGCTACGATCACCCACACAACTCCGTGCCCTCCTTCGTAGTCCAATCCCGTTGTAGGGTGACTCTCCGCAGTTTCCACATGCGCCCATCCATGCTCCACCTTGTGCACCACCATGGGTTTGCACACATCCGGTGTACCGTACATGCCATCCCCCTGTTCCCACACCCCTGCCGCCCTCTCTCCTTCACCACCCACTCCGTCCGAGTCCCAACCAGCGCCTTTTCAATCCATCCACCCCGCCCGCAGCTACCTGAACCACGGTGACGTGGCGGACACGGATTGGATGCCAGCGGAGTGTCTCTAGTTTCTGAAACACATTACAACAACCTTGACAACCATCGCACACCTTCGGGAAACCTTATCGACCAGGTAATTGGAATGTGCTTGTTACAGCCTAGGTTGACACAACCCAAAGACACTTACAAAGTCAATATCCCGTGCATACTTCCCGCGCAGTCCGCGGGCAGCTGGCTATACCTCCCGCGCACCCGACTGCACGGACGACTTTGTCCAAACGATGGCGGGGCCATTTACCGTCAACAAGAATTGCCACCCAATCACGTGTCAGAAACTAGAGACAGGACTGGATCAACTAGCAGGAAGTTTGGTACAAGTATGAAACCCTAATGGGGTTGTACCCCATATTGGCTACCTCACTACAGCCTACATATATATAATACATATATCATTTGACACGCAAAGTGGGGGAGAGCAAATGGTCACAAGACTAGTCAAGAAAGACAAAGCAAACTCAGGGCGGATCACAACGTCACCACACACACTAAGCACAAGCAAAGGGCCACAAGGCCAGTTCACATGTAGAGGTATATATGCAACAATAGCATCACAGTGATCACTACCTAGCAAGAGCAAGCATGCAGGTATATATTTATATATGTGTATATACATATATATACAAATATATATATCACAGTACAAGCAAAGACTACAACAATTGTGAAAACGTAGGCACAAGGCCTAACAGAGTACAAAAGCGCTGATGATCACCAGACGGAAGTGCCTTGGTGAATATATCAGCAGTGTTGGCCCGAGTGGCCACGTGAGCAAGACGAAGCTGACCTCGCTGCTGCAACTCTCGAGCCAGGAAGTAACGCAGAGCGATGTGCTTTGTTCTGTGCTCCAGTCTGTGCTCCTGACACAAGGCAATGGCGGCCTTGTTGTCGACGTACAGAACTGGAGGAGAACGAGGCCTCTCTCCCAAGACGCGTCAGAGTGTCCAGTGAGGACAACGTCACCCCGTCCTCCAAGCACGAGCCCCATGCCCGATGTACTGCACAGGTAGCGCAGTACCCTCTTAGCAGCATCCATGTGCACCTTTTGGTGCCGACCAGGAGCCACGTAGCGAGCCAAAAGGCCAAGAGGGTATGCAAGGTCAGGTCGAGTGCAGGTCATCAGGTACATGAGGCTGTTGAACTATACTTATATATGTTCTTTATAATTGATTGCAGTGTAGAGTGTAGCACATCCCAACTTGCTGTAGGTGGTGCACCATGCTTCTCCTTGCTATATCTTGTACTCATGTTTCTTAGTGAAACCTCTCCTTTTGCCTAACTCTCTCTTGCCTAGCTAGGTAAACCCTAGCTATGGCTCCTTCCTCTAGCTACTATTGTGACATGTTATCAGAGCTCGTTATGTCCTGGCCTGTGGGCCCCTATTATGCTTCCGCTGCTGTGCCGCGCGCTCGGGGCATGCGGCGTTTTTTCTTCCCGCCGCGCGCTCGGGGCGCGCGGCGGTTTTCTGCCCCGTCGGCCTGCGCGTCGCCTCCCCCGCTTTCCCCGTCGCGGCGCTCTGGGGAGCCGTGCGCGGCCCCCGTTTCCCCGTCGCGGCGCCCAGGGGAGCCGCGCGCGGCCCCCCGCTGCCCCGTCGAGGCGCCCTGGGGAGCCGCGCGCGGCCCCCGTTTCTCCGTCGCGGCGCCCTGGGGAGCCGCGCGCGGCCCCCCGCTGACTCGTCGCGGCGCCCAGGGGAGCCGCGCGCCGACCCCAGGGACGCGCGCGCCCGTCCCCCTGGACCCGCGCGCCCCTCCCCTGGACCCACGCGCCGCCCCCGGAGACCTCCGCGCTCCCCCCCGTCGACCTGCGCGCCGCCCCTGCTGCTTCCCGCGCTCCTACCTACGTTAGGGTTTGGGGGTGGCGGACCTGGGGGTGCACGGTGTGGGTAACCTGCAGCTCCTCCTCCTCCTTCGTCTCCCACTGCTGCAGCTGCCGCTGAGGGGGGTGGGTGTGTGGGAGCCGAGGGTTTAGGGTTTAAGGGGGGTGCCGTGGGAGTGGAGCTAGGGTTTCAGCAGGGGGTGTGTGAAAGGGGGTGGAACAGTTGGGGGAGTTTGAGTGGAGGTAGCAGTCTTGTCGTCCGCAGCGCCTGTAGTCCGGGGCCCTTGCCGCTGGTAGCCCAGAGAGCCTGCTGCGCCTGTCGCCCGTGGGTCCGTTGCTCCTGTCTGAGCCTGTTACTCCTGTAGTCCGGGGCCCTTGCTCCGGTAGCAACTGAGCCAGCCGCTCCTGTGGCCGGTGTGTTTGCAACTTCAGCAGTCGCCTCCCATCTCTTCTCCTCTCACAGTCACTCCTCCTCCTCACTTCGCCTCTTCTTCTGCTGCAGCTGCCGCTGAGGGGGGTGGGTGTGTGGGAGCCGAGGGTTTAGGGTTTAAGGGGGGTGCCGTGGGGCAGCCCACTAGCTCTACGTAAGGACCACTCGACTCTACGGACTCGTCCGAAGGTGGAGCTGAGAGCGAATGACCTGTAGCAAGAGGAGTGGACTGTGCGGAGGACCAGGTGAAGCCGAAGCGCCGAAGGACCTGCTGCACCATGTGTGACTAAGTCAGTGTGATGGTGCGGCGTGCTCGGTCCCGGGTGATCTGCAAGCCAAGGTAACTGCGCACGTGTGTCTCTTCTGCAGCTCCGACTTCACTAGGGCGAGAGCCTCAGTGTCAGCAGTGGCAAAGACCAAGTCGTCGACGTACACGAGGATGTAGAACGGCAGCAGCGAAGTGTCGGTGCGCAGAAACAGCGACGGGTCTGCAGTCGAAGGAGCAAACCCAAGAGCCGCAAGTGTCATCCTCAGTGTGTCGTGCCACTCACGAGGCGCCTGGCGGAGACCGTAGACTGGCCGCTGGAGGCTCCACTGGGTGCCAGGAGGGAACGACCCAGTGAAGCCAGGTGGGCGGCGCAACCAGATCTCCTCGTGCAGGCTGCCCTGTAAGAAGGTTGTGCTGAAGTCAAGAGAGTGAAGCTCGTAGTCACGCTGAGCGGCAACGTGCAGCAGCACCCGAAGAGTGGTCATCTTCGGGGTAGGGGAGAAGGTCTGGAAGAAGTCAACTCCCTCACGCTGACTGAAGCCTCTAGCAACATAACGAGCCTTGAAGACAGGCGGAGAACCCGACGGCCGCTTCACCCTGAAAATCCACATGCCATCGACGATGTTCGCCCCAGGAGGAGGAACCTCGTCGACGTAAGTGACTGTGGACTTCCAGGATGCCATCTCTGCGTCCATGGCTGTCTGCCACTGAGAGGAGTACTCACCCGCGATCGCCTCAGCGTAAGAGCGCGGGGTCGGGATGTCTGGTGCATCCGGGTCTCCCTCAGGGGCAAGCAGCATGGCCACGAGATGAGGCGCAGCGGCTGCAAGACACTCAAGGTCCTCGTGCCTGTCCTCAAGGACGTCCGTGCCAAGATCACACTCACCCCCGACGGACGGAGGACAGACACACTCAGACTCAGCAACAAGACTAGCGGCGTAGTCTAGACGATAGGCAGCAGCAAAGTCAACAAGCTCAGCGACTAAGGCAGACGCAGCAGCAGAATCAGACGACGGGTCAGTGACAACCGTGGCTAACAGACGCGTGACAGTTGGGTGTGCGGCACGAAACAGACTCAGGGTCCGGAACGTCAGGCAGAGAAGACGTAGGAGGAGACGGCAGAGGAACACGCTGCGGAGCAGAGGAAGGACGACAGAATCATGTGGTGTGTGCCGGGGAAAGCCGGTGGACGCTGACGAGGAACACGACGACCAGTACGACCAGTGCGAACAGCACGAACAGGCGAGACAGGACGCGACGCAGGCTCACGACGCGCAACACGACTACCAGGCTGCTCAGTGTAAGGAGAAGGAGCAGGCAGCTAGGAGCCAGGCTGTAACGGAAGACCAGTAGACAACGGGAGTGTAAGAACCTGACGAAGTACAGTGTTAGACGGTGGTAGAGACGACAGAGACGGCGGAGCGAAGAACAGTCGTGGCTCCGTAGTGCCACCAACACTAGCAGCTCCAGTACCTCCAGCAGCTCCAGCACCTCCAGCAGCTCCAGTACCTCCAGTAGCTCTAGCACCGCCAGTAGCACCAACACCACCAGCAGCTCTAGCACCGCCAGGAGCTTCAGCACCACCAGCAGCTCCAGCACCTCCAGCGCCAGCACCTCCAGGACTAGCGCCACCAGTAGCAGCACCCCCAGAACCAGCACCACCAGTCCCTAGGTCTCCAGTCTCAGTGTCTCCAGCAGCAGCACCCCCAGAACCGGCACCTCCAGTCCCAGTGTCTCCAGCAGCAGCACCCCCAGACGCAGCACCTCCAGCCCCAGCAGCTCCAGTACCTCCAGTTAGAGCACCTTCGGGAGCAGCTACACCAGCACCTCCTGTAGACAGGGAACCAGTACCTCTCCCAGCTCCAGCGACGACAGTAGAACCACCTCCACCAGCAGCGCGACCCTGACGGCGAGTGTACCACTCGTGCAGCTGCTGTGGGGAGAGAGGCGCACGCGGACGAAGGCGGCCACTCCAAGGAGACCGCGCACCAGCAGTCTCAGTACCCTCAGGCGCCGCACCCCCAGACTCAGTACTCTTAGGCTTAGTACCCCCAGACGCAGCACCCAGAGAGAGCAGACGCACTAGCACCTAGAGTTGCAGGCGATATACCTGGGTCTATACCTGGGTCACGCGGCACACACAAGTAGCAGTCACCCCTCCTTGCTTCGCCTTCGTGGCATGCACTCTTCGCTCTGATACCATGTCAGAAACTAGAGACAGGAATGAATCAACTAGCAGGAAGTTTGGTACAAGTATGAAACCCTAATGGGGTTGTACCCCATATTGGCTACCCCACTACAGCCTACACATATATAATACATATATCATTTGACACGGGCCTGAGAACGTGCTAAGGGAGGGGGATGGCAGCTTTTGGGCGGCTCAGGATGGGGTGCTGTCGGCTGCTCTCCACTTCGACCTCGGGCAGGTGAAAACTTTCCACGTGGTGCGTCTGGAAGAGCCTGTGGCGTACGGGCAGCGGATAAAGTCGTTCAGAGTGGAAGTGCTCGACCCGGACACTGCTGCTGCACCCGCCGCCACTCCAGCTGCCGCTTCGGCCCAAGTCAGTGCTGCTGGTGCTGGCGGGTGTGGGTCAGGCGGGTGCAATGGCAGGGATGGTGCCCCCCCTGCCTGGTGTGCCAGGCGGGAGTGTGCACGCGGCTCACACACCGCATGGCGCCCAGGGGGCAGTGCGCTGCATGCTGAGTGCACGGGGAGGGCGGGGAGAGCGGGCGAGTGGAGAGTGATAGCGAGTGGCAGCACAGTGGGGCGCAAGAGGCTGTTTCGGGTGGAGGCAGTGAAAGCGCGGCATGTGAGGGTGGTAATTCACGATGCGCGGGCTGCCCCGCTGCTCTCCTACGTTGCACTCTACAGGAGTGGCGACCCGAGTGCAGTATGATGCGTGAGGTCTATATGACACTTTATGGCTTGGGCTGTTTGATCTGCCTTGTGTGGACTGGACTGGACTCAACACAGGTCTGTCATGGGAGCCCTAGTGCTACTGTCATGTGGGATTGCACATGGAGGAGCAAACTGCAATAGGTAAGTCGCCCACTCAACGCTTGTGCGTTGTACTTGTGGTATGAGCTCAGCTGTATGCTGTGAATTTTTCCACATCATTTGAAGTTGTATGTATGTATATAGCGAAATGCAATCTAATTTTTGCTGAAACACCAGATTCTGCTATTCGAGACTTCAACTTAACGATCACGAAGTTGATCCTGTAATGCGAACATTTAGCTCGAAGGAAGCGTTGCTCCCCGTTCGTCACACACAACCTTCATTCTCTCGATAAGGGAATCTAAACTGCACTTTATCGAATCTGAACTTGCGGCTGCAGAATGCACCCATATTGAAGGGGCCAATGTCTGGCGAGAGCGAAATGGAGCAGATGGCGGCGGGGACGGGCAGGGGCGACGAGCGCAAGGAGGCGCAGCAAAAGAAGGAAGTGCGCTTCTCGGGGAACGACGACGACGATGATGACGATGCCGCCAAGTGCGCGCCTTCCCCGTCCGCTCCCCCCTCCTCGCGAAGCTTCCGCGCGATTTATTGTCGCTCTTGTCCATGCGACACTTCCGTTCGCCTGCGACGCAATCGTCACCACTCCCCGCACCCCGCCTTTCCCCCCTTGACCCCTCCTCTTTTTCCTCCATCCCCCGCCCCGCCCATGCGGTGCGGGCGCCAGGCTACGGCGCGAGGTGCTGCCGGAGAAGAAGCCGAAGAAGGAAGGGCGCGCCCGCCACTCTTAGGATCGTAAACGCCTTAGTCAGCACTAGTCTACTTGCTATTGCTTATCGTGTTCTCCACGATCTCACGAATCCAATGATATGCGCAGCTCTGCTTGAAGTTGAAGTCTGGTCCAATTAAAAGGAATGTGGTTTGTTTCAATGTTGTCAATGTTATGATTTCCAGAATGAGTACAGCAGTTTTATAGTCAACCAAGGTACAAAATGCGATTCGTAACGTAACTTCTTTCCCAAGCAATCTCGCGCGCGCCTCGTTTCACCGCGAGTCGCACGCGGAAACCGAACCGAATGCACCAAACACTCCTTCAGTTCGAATCTTGAACCTTCTCGAATGCGCCTTGGTCTCGAACCACATTTTCCCCCGTCGATTCTCATTCTTGATACTTCTCCACTCTTCTTCCTCCATTTCTCTCGTTTCTTCCCGATTTCTCTCTCCCGCTTCTCACGCCGTAGCTTCTAGTCTTCGCCGTAGGCTGATTCCACCGTTTCGCCGTCGCACCGAATCGCGCCGTAGGTTCCGTGGTTGGGCGAACCAACCCTAACAGCCGCCGCTGACGTCAGCGCGATGGTCCTCGACGACCTCGGCGCGGAGCCCGGCGCGGCGGCGCTGATGGGCTCCGCGGATCCGCGCGTGGCGGCGCAGGCGCGCGCGCAGCAGCGGAAGAAGGGGAAGAGCAAGTGGGGAGACACTGCTTTCGGGGGCGTGGAGGACGTGGCGCGCGCCGAGGAGGACTTCCAGGTGCGGGGCGAGGGGACGGGGGGGGGAGGGTAAGGGGGGAAGGAGAAAGGGGAGTGAGGAGAGGGGAGGGGATAGGAGGGGAGGGGAGTGGAGGGGAGGGGAACAAGGATAGGGAGGGAGCAGGGGAGCAGAAAGAGAGGGCACGGACAGAAGGAGGGGGGGGCGGGGGGAAAGGGAAGGTGGGGGAAGCGAGGGAGGGAATAGATATGTGTGTGGGTGGGGGCGATTGGGATGGTGATCACACTGGACAGGTGAGGGAAGGGGGCTAAGTGAATCACAGGGGTGTTGAGTGCCGTGAGCCTCATGGTAGGGCCGGTTGGGGTGAATGCGTCTCAGAAACGGTTCACTGGGCAAGCGGTGCTGGCAGTGCTGGCGGTGGGGAGGGGGGAGTATTGGCAGTGGGGAGGAAGGAGTGCCGTGCTCCAAGCTGGTTGACCCTCACCCGCATTCTTTCCTCTCCTGCTCTGCCCTGCTTGGCATGCCCTGCCGTGCCGTGCCGTGCCGTGCTGTGCTGTGCTGTGCTGTGCTGTGCTGTGTGCTGCGCTGTGCTGTGTGCTGCGCTGTGCTGTGTGCTGCGCTGTGCTGTGTGCTGGGTGGTGTGATGGCATGGGCGCATGGGCTCATGGCATGGTGACAGGGCGAGGAGGAGGAGCAGGAGGCAATGGAGCCGTTCAACCTGCAGCAGGAGCGCGAGGAGGGGTACTTTGATGCCGAGGGCAACTATGTGGAATACAGAGAGGACACCGAGGCCACGGTGAGTGCAGGGAGGGAAGAGAGGCCACGGTGAGTGCAGGGAGGAAGAGGTGACGGTGAGAAGGGAGGTGTGGTTGTGGGTGCAAATGAGGGCCAAGACAGTGAGGCCAAGACAGTGAGGCCGCCACAGCAAGGAAGGAAGACGTGATGGGGGCAAGGGATGCGTTTCAAACGCTTTCATCTGCCTCTCTTCCCTCTCCCTCTGCGCGCCGGAAATTCTGGTGCTTGTTAGCACGGCAGCACCACGCACCCTGGCAGTGGTGTGGCCCCTCTCATGCCGTTCTCCCCTCTCGTGCACTCCTCTCCTCCCCTCTCCCCGTTTCCTCTCTCCCCCCATCCTCTCACACTCCCTCCCCCCCTTGCAGGATGGCTGGCTGGCGGCCAAGGCAGCAGCGCGCACAGGCAGCAGCGCGCACAGGCAGCAGCGCGCACAGGCAGCAGCGCGCACAGGCAGCAGCGCGACCCCTTCACATTCTCACCTCCCATCTTCCCCGCCTCTCCTTTGCCCATCTCCCCCCTCTTCCCATCTCCCTCTTCCCCCTCCCACGACGCATGGCCGGCAACAGCAGAGGTGGGCCCCACCTTGGCCGCCAAGGCAGCAGCACGACCCCTCCACGCATACTCACTCCAGCACGAGCATGGAGGATGGCAGCGACGCCGACGACTGGGAGGAGCCCGCCCGCCACGCCGCCAACGGCGCCGCGGAGGCGATCGGCAACGACTCCGCTGAAGCCGCGTCTCCGGCCGGCACGGACCGCCGCGACTCCCCCAGTCGCGACGACTCGCAGTCGCAATCGCCGTCGCGGTCGTCGCGATCGTTGTCGTCGCAGTCGTCTAGGTCGTCGGCGTCGTCGCGATCATCGCACAGCGACGCGGAGAGTGAAGATCGAGGCGCTGGGGACGAGAGGAGGGAAGGCAATGGGGAGAGAGAGGAGGAGAAGGAAGGCGGGTATGACGGGGAAGGGCTAGACGGGGATGTGAAGGGCAGCGGTGTCGAGGAGTCGACGGGACGAGACCCGCAGGGTGATGCGCGCGAGGGCGGCGAGCAGGGGGGGATGGCGGATGGGGGGACGGGGCTGGGCGTGACCCTGGACTTTGACGAGGACGATGGGAGTGACTATAGCGAGTCCAGCGACGGCGAGGGAGGCGGGTCGGGGAGTGACAGAAGCGGAGAGGAGTGGCAAGTAAACGAGGGGGGGGAGCAGGAGCATGCGAGTGGCGTGAAGCGGAAGGAGCGAGGCGCGGGCGAGGCAGCAGAGGGGGATGAGCGGCCGGCGAAGCGGATGGAGGCAGGTGAGGGCGGGGCAGGCGGGGCGGAGGGTGAGGGGCTGCTGGTGCGCGTGGTGGCGGACCACTACAGCCGGCGCGACAACCAGCAGCGGCACGAGCGCGAGGCGAGTCCCATCATCCACCTGAAGAAGCTCAACAACTGGATCAAGTCCGTGCTCATCCGCCTCCACACCCACCCCGCCCGTGGCGCGCGCGTGCTGGACCTGGCGTGCGGCAAGGGCGGCGACCTGACCAAGTGGGCGCGCGTCAACGTGGGCTTCTACCTCGGAGTGGACGTGGCGGAGGGCTCCGTGCACGACGCCATGGCGCGCTACAACGGCGACTCGCACCGCTCCTTCGCCGGGGGAGACGGGGCGGACAGCGACCGGCGGCAGATGCGGTTCCCGGCGAAGCTGGCGTGTGCGGACTGCTTCGGCGTGGCGCTGGACCGCGAGCTGCTGCCGTGGGCGCCCTTTGACATCTGCTCCACGCAGTTCGCGCTGCACTACTCCTTCGAGACCGAGCAGCGCGCTCGCTGCGGGCTGCGCAACATCGCGGCGCTGCTGCGGCCGGGCGGCATGTTCATCGGCACCATCCCCGACGCCAACGTGCTCGTGCAGAAATTACGAGCCTCGCCGAACCTCAGGTTCGGCAACTCCGTCTACTCGATAGAATTCGCCCCGGAGTTCGCAGACAAGAAGTTCCCGTCAACCCGGCCGTACGGCATCCGGTACGAGTTCCGGCTGGAGGACGCGGTGGACTGCCCCGAGTGGCTCGTGCCGTTCGCCTTCCTGCAGCGCCTGGCGGGCGAGTACGGGCTGCAGGCACTCTACCACGCCAACTTCCACACCTTCATCAAGACGCACGCCGCCGTCGAGCCGCACGCGTCGCTGCTGCGCCGCATTGCGGGCGAGCGGTGGCGCGAGGAGATGACGGCGGACGAGTGGGACGCTGCTTACCTCTACTGCGTGTTTGTCTTCCGCAAGGAGGGCCAAGGGGGGCCTGAGGGGGGTGGCGCTGCAGGGGAGAGGAGGGAGGAGGTTATTAGGAGAATGGAAAGTGATGATATTCTGATTCTCTAATACCGTACTGGTACACGTTGAAGAAGTGATGCGAGGCAAGGCAAGGAAAAGTGAATTGATTGTGGTTCTTGTGACACAAATTTCCAGTGTACTGTTCACTAAAATGTCACAGAAGTAAATGTGAGAGCTGACACCGAGTATTCGAGTGTCCAATGTCGGGAACATCTGTCATGCAAATTCGTTTGATAATGTGCTGCTGCCCCTCCCATTCCTATCATCCCTTCTAGTTCCGCCATTGCCGTTCCCTGTCGCGCACGCCACACGCGCCGGCATGGGCGATTTCCCCCCCCATCCTCGCCACCGCCCACGCGCGCTCTCTCTTCTTCTTGCCGCTCCGCTGCTCCTCCTCCTCCCCGCGCTCGCGTGCGTTAGCCCTCCTCCCCCACTCGCCTCACTCCTTTCCTCCCTGTCCCTCGCCCTCCCCGCTCTCTCCGCGTGCTTCTCCTCTCCCCTTCCTCCGCCCCCGCCGCTGCTTCCCATCCCCACGGCGCGCCAGCTGACACGTCAGCGTGCTGAGCTGGCGGCGTTCTTCCACGTGGGCATGAACACGTTCACGGACCGCGAGTGGGGCACGGGGCGCGAGGACCCGCGGCTGTTCAACCCGGCGGCGCTCAACGCGTCGCAGTGGGTCGACACCGTCAAGGCCGCCGGCTTCCAGGTGCGCGCAACGCGCTGGGCCTTGAGGTGCGCCCCGCTCTCTCGTAGCCGTGCGCGCTGGGAGAGACCGTCCTCTCCCTGCGTCTCTCGTAACGGTGGTGGGGGCGGCCGAGTGACGCAGGTGATGGCGGCGAGGGGGGAACGCGCGAAGGAGGGGGAAGCGCAAGAGGGGAGCGCGCGAGGGGAGAGCGCGCGATGGGAGAGCGCGCGAGGGGAGAGCGCGCGATGGGAGAGCGTGCGAGGGGAGAGCGTGCGAGGTGGAGGGAGAGGGGGGGGGGGGGGGGGTTCGTGAGCGGCTGTCGCTGGAGCTGTGGGCGGTGGGATCACGCGGCAGAGGAGGCGAGCGTGGAGAGGTCGCGCTGTGGAGCCCGCGCGACGCTTGCAGGCGTGCTGCTGCTGTTGCTGCTGTTAGTGCTGGGAAGGTGGTTCAAACAAACACCTGCCCCACGTCGTGTGTCCCCTGCTGCATACCTTATGTCTGTATCCCACACCTGCCAGTTTATGGTTGCCCCACACATACCCACAACCCCCACACTTCTTGTGAGCCCACCCAAGCTTCACAAGCCCCTCCCCGCTTTCACCAATTCTGGTGCTGCTCCTCAACCGTCTCACCCTTCATGCGCCTCTCTCCCCTCTCGCCTTTCGCTCCTCACCCCATCTCCCAGCTGGTGGTGCTGACAGCCAAGCACCACGACGGCTTCTGCCTGTGGCCCTCGGCGCTCACCAACCACTCTGTGCGCCGCTCGCCCTGGAAGGCCGGTCAAGGTGACGTCGTTGCTGACGTGGCGGCGGCGGCGCGGGCGGCGGGAGTGGGGCTGGGGTTGTATCTGTCGCCGTGGGACCGCAACGCGCGGGCGTATGAGGAGGGCAGTGCGGCGTACAACGCCTTGTACGAGGGGCAGCTGAGGGAGCTGCTCACTCGGTGAGTGAGAGGGGAGGATGGGGCGTGCTCACGTGGTGGTGGGGAGGGGGAGGGTGGGGGGTGTGGAGAGCAAATGCTGGGGGCTGGGGATGGGGAGCGGGGCACCGTGATGGATGCGGTGGGCGTATGAGCGCTGGGCAGATGCGTGTGAGCAGTAGGGCCGTGGTGAGGGCCGTGGTGAGGGCCGTGGTGAAGGGACGGATGGAAAGGGCATGTGTTCACTGCATTTCAATTATTTGCCCTTCTCACACCTGCTCTTCTTTCCTGCCGCCCCAAACAAACTCCTCTCCCTTTTCCCCCCTTCAACCTCTCACTGTACTCCTTGTACCACCCTCGCCTGCACCGTACCTTCCCTCCTTGTGTTTCTCTCCGTTGCTGCCTGTCACCCTCCCCGCTCTTCTCTTCCCTCACGTGCTCCCTCTCTCTCTTTTTCTTTCTTTTTACAACTTGCAATCTACAGTTCTCGTCTCTCATTGTCCGCATCATCTCTACGTCTTCCCGCATCCCCCCTCTTCCCGCATCCCCCCTCTTCCCCCATCCCCCCTCTTCCCCCATCCCCCCTCTTCCCGCATCCCCCCTCTTCCCGCATCCCCTCTCTTCCCCACAACCAGCGCCGCTCCACTATCTCCCGTGGTGCAGGTGCGATGCAGCACGCGCAGAGGAGGAGCAGCTCGGCCCCAAGCCATGCCCTAGCCTACCTCCACCCACCTGCGCCACCCTCCCCTGCCCCTCCCGCCTCGCCCTGCTGCCCGCCCGCACTGCAGCTACGGGCCCGTGGCGGAGCTGTGGCTGGCTGGACGGCGCCCAAGCCACCTGCGCCGCTCTTCCCTTGCCCTCCCTCCCCTGCCCCTCCTGTCTGCGCCCTACCACCCACAGCTACGGGCCCGTGGCGGAGGTGTGGCTGGACGGCGCCAAGGGGGACCGCCGCCCCATGACCTACCACACTGCCACGTGGCAGGCTCTCATTCGGCAGCTGCAGCCGGCAGCAGCGGTGTTTTCAGCGCAGGGCCCCGACTTGCGGTGGGCGGGCAACGAGCGCGGCGAGGCGGGCGAGGCGTGCTGGGGGATGGTGAACGGCAGCCAGCTCACGCTGGAGGGGTGGGACACCCAGTGCGTGCTCACAGGGTGACTCGGGTGGCATTTGGGGTGATTGGGGGGTGGTGCATGGTGAAGCGGCGTTGCCCTGTTTGTTGGTTCCACAGCCACTCATCCATGCACCCCCATGTGCACCCCATGTGCACCCCCATGTGCACCCCATGTGCACCACCGTGGCTTTCCATGCATCCGTTGAGCCATACATGCCATCCCAACCCCACAGCCCCACATCCCACCCTCCTTAACCACCCATAACCCATCCGCCACCTGCAGCTACCTGAACCACGGTGACGTGGCGGGCACGGATTGGATGCCAGCGGAGTGTGACGTGTCCATCCGCCCGGGGTGGTTCTGGCACCCCTCAGAGCGCCCCAAGCCGCTCGCCCGCCTGCTGGACCTCTATTTCGCCTCGGTGGGGCGCGGGTGTGCGCTGCTGCTGAACGTGCCGCCCAACACCACGGGGCTGCTGCATGGGGAGGACGTGCAGCGCGTGGGACAGTTTGGCCCCGCGCTTCAAGTGCTGTTCCAGGAGGACGTCAGCGCCGGTGCTCGCGTGCTCGCCAGCAGCGTGTATGGCTGCGAGGGGGGGTGGAGGCAGAAGGAAGAGGAGGAGAGGGGTTTACGAAGGGAATGGTTTGGGATGGGGTTATGGGGATGGTGGGGGGGTTGGGTGCGAGGGAGAGGGCGGTGTGATTACGGGCCTGAGAACGTGCTGAGTGCTGGAGATGCAACCTTCTGGGCGGCTCAGGATGGGGTGCTGTCTGCTACTCTTGAGTTCGACCTCGGGCAGGGAAAAACTTTCCATGTGGTTCGGCTGGAGGAGCCTGTGGCGTATGGGCAGAGAATAAAATCGTTCACTGTAGAGGTGATCGACCCAGACCCTGCTGCTGCACCCGCCGCCGCTCCAGCTGCCCCTGTGGCCCAAGTTGGTGGTGCCGGTGCTGGCGGGTGTGGGCCAGGCGGGTGCAATACCGAGGATGGTGTGCTGCCGTCCCTGCCTGGTGTGCCGAGCCTGGGTGAGCCTGCGCTCCACACATCGCATGGCCCGCAAGCGGCAGCACGCAGCATGCTGGAGAGGACGGGGAGTGCGGGGAGGGCGGGCGAGTGGAGGGTGGTGGCGAGGGGCAGCACGGTGGGGCGCAAGAGGCTGTTTCGGTTGGAAGCGGTGAGAGCGCAGCATGTGAGGCTCGTCATTCACGATGCCAGGGCTGCCCCGCTGCTCTCCTTCTTTGCGCTCTACAGGAGTGGTGATTTGAGCACCATATGATCTCACGGGCCCTACCACATCACTGCCCAATCCACCTTGCAGTCCTTCATTCGTGCTGTATAGTGGAAAGGAGAATAGAAGCAGATGCCTATATTTTTTTCAGCACTAATCATGCAGGTGAACAGATGGTGGTGACGCTTCTGCATGTATAGTACCGGTACTGACTTGGATTCGAAGGTCCCCCACCCCCTGCCCCCGCCCTGACCCCCCTCATAGAATGCACGAGAGTGACATGTGTAGTGTATGTAAGTAATGGAGAACAGAGGCTTATTCCCTTAGCTGACTAGTGTTGACTCGATCCTATTAGGCTAACACCTGAACTTTTTGGGTTGCGAAGCAACCTTTTTTTTTCTCTCGTAACCTCAAGCACACTCTCTTCTAAAGCCTGGATTTCAAGTTCTGGTTTTGGCCTGCGCCGGGCAAGATTCAGAGCGGCTCAGGGCTCCAAGTATTGCTCCCAGACACTTCGACAAACTGATTTACACAAGAAAGAAAGGCTTTGGACGGCAGCTAGCTAACTTCAGTATTTTACACCAACTACCCAGTTTACAAATCATACGCAATCGCCAACTAAGCAAGGGGGTAAACCCAGGGTGCTGTACCTTCGCGAAGAGTCTTCAACCGATCTTATCGGTTCAGTAACCACGCACGCACAAGTAACCTTTGCAGGTTACGACGAGAACACTTCCAAGCAATTTTCTCTCCACATAAAACGCACGAGAACTGAGACGACTTTTGAGGCGTCTCAAAAGCTAGGCAACCGGTGTCCTGTGCCCCTTATATACCTGCGTCTTCCTTCACAGGCACAGCCGTTCCACCCACGCAGGTCCTGTTGCAGCACAGGATGGGTTGAGTAGCTCAAAGTGCCGGCAGTGACGGGTGCGGATGCGTTCACCGTGCACACTCCTCCTGCCTCCCAGCATAGCAGCAGCACACCATTGGTGCCACAGTAGACACACTCTGCCACACCTCTTTCAACCGTGCTGATGGTGGTTCACTTGGTGGGCGCAACGAGGCAGTTAGAGGTGCCGTCACACCCGGTGTAGGAGGCCGTTGGCAGGTCCAATCCAACCTAATAAGACCGGTGGCGAGCGCAGGCATGGTGCCATGACATGAGGTCTGACAGCGCAACTGGGCAAGGGAGAGAGCAGTGAGCGGGGGAATGATGTGCGCAGACATGATGAGAGGAAGGGTGAGGGAGGAAGGGTAACGGTTCGCAGCAGCATGCAGCCATAAGAGGATGAGAAGTGACCTGATGTCATCCCAACGAACCTACAACAGGCTCGCTCGCATCTGCCGCGTGACGACAATTGAGGAGAAAAATAATAAAAACAAAGATAAAACCACGCGCGCGCGCCCACCACCCCCCCACCCTCCCTCCTCCCTCCCCCTCCCCACACCACACTGGTGGACAGCAGGCACGAGCACAAACAGGGGTTGGAAATCTGAGAAAGAAACGGGTGCTGGAGCTAAGCTGAGGCAACAGAACAGTACCATCTTCTCAATACCTCCGCCCTGCCTACTCTGCCCTGCCTGCCCTCACTCTGCCCTGCCTCGCCACACTCTGCCATGCCTCTGCCACTCATAAGCCGGCCCGCACTGGCTAGGATCGAAGGGGTGGTGGCGAATGAACCGATGGGGTAGCTGAGTAGTTTGCTTGACAGCCACCTGTTAGGGGCGAGCAGAGGATGAAGTCTCGGAAGTGAGGCCATAGCTGTCGACCGTTGACCACATGCAATGCAGCAGCAGTATGACACCCGCATGTTTGAAACGCTTCAAAAATGCATTACGGCTCCACGAGACAGCTGTCCTGTATGAACTTGGGACTGGCAAGAGAAAGACCATTCTGATCCGCCGAGATAATAGAAAGAGTGGCAGATACAGAAACAGGGTGCACTGGCATTCTGAAGCCGATAGAGCAACATTCGAAGGAAGCAGACGCAAGGCACATGCAGGTGAGAGGCGTGAGCGTGGAGATGTCGGCATGAAGTGAGCCCTTGAGGCGTGCAGATGTCGGCATGAAGTGAGCCCTTGAGGCGTGGAGATGTCGGCATGAAGTGAGCCCTTGAGGCGTGCGCTGTCCAAAGCTCTAATGCACGGTGAGACAACAATGCATAGTATGGCACCTGGATGAGGAAGCAGGGAAAGCGAGGGGGAACTGTGAGAAATGGGTTGTGGGTGATTTGGACTGTAATTGGGGGAGCAGTGGTGGGAAGGGAATGGAGCATGACGACAGGGAAAGGAATGGTAAAGTGGAGATTGGGGAATGGAATAGTACAGAGGGAGATTTAGGGGTCAAGGACGGTGGCACCGAGGGCGACAGGCTGAGATACGTTTGGAGAAGCGGAAAGGAGAGCGGAATTGTGGGGGAAGGGGAATGGAATTGTGGGGGAAGGGGAGTAAAATTGTGGTTGAAGTGCAAGAGGGGAATGGAATTGTGGGGAAAGTGCAAGAGGGGGTGAAGGTGAGCAGAGGAACGGGAGTGCAACCAGATAGGGGGGAGGGGACCAGATATGAGGGGGGAGGGGACCACATATGAGGGGGGAGGGGACCAGATATGAGGGGGAAGGGGACCAGATATGAGGGGGGAGGGGACCAGATATGAGGGGGGAGGGGACCACATATGAGGGGGGAGGGGACCAGATATGAGGGGGGAGGGGACCACATATGAGGGGGGAGGGGACCACATATGAGGGGGGAGGGGACCAGATATGAGGGGGGAGGGGACCAGATATGAGGGGGGGGGAGGGGACCAGATATGAGGGGGGAGGGGACCAGATATGAGGGGGGAGGGGACCAGATATGAGGGGGAAGGGACCAGATATGAGGGGGGAGGGGACCAGATATGAGGGGGAAGGTGATCAGATTTGAGGGGGGAGGGGACCACATATGAGGGGGGAGGGGACCAGATATGAGGGGGGAGGGGACCAGATATGAGGGGGGAGGGGACCAGATATGAGGGGGGAGGGGACCAGATATGAGGGGGGAGGGGACCAGATATGAGGGGGGAGGGGACCAGATATGAGGGGGGAGGGGACCAGATATGAGGGGGGAGGGGACCAGATATGAGGGGGGAGGGGACCAGATATGAGGGGGAGGGGACCAGATATGAGGGGGGAGGGGACCACATATGAGGGGGGAGGGGACCAGATATGAGGGGGGAGGGGACCAGATATGAGGGGGGAGGGGACCAGATATGAGGGGGGAGGGGACCACATATGAGGGGGGAGGGGACCAGATATGAGGGGGGAGGGGACCAGATATGAGGGGGGAGGGGACCACATATGAGGGGAGAGGGGACCAGATATGAGGGGGGAGGGGACCAGATATGAGGGGGGAGGGGACCAGATATGAGGGGGAAGGGACCAGATATGAGGGGGGAGGGGACCAGATATGAGGGGGAAGGTGATCAGATTTGAGGGGGAAGGGGAGTGGAACAGTGGGGGGAGGGCAGTGGAACAGTGGGGGGAGGGCAGTGGAATAGTGGAGGGAGGGCAGTGGAACAGTGGGGAATGAGGAGTGCAACATTAGGGGAAGGGGTGTGTTCCTGTGAGAGAAGGGGAGTGGAATAATGGGGGAATGGGAGTGTTCGTGTGGGGAAAGCGGAGTGGCTTTTTGGGGGATGGAAATTGCATGGGGGCAAAGGGTTGTGGAATTGAGGGGAAATCGGTGCGTTTAGGGGAACCCTCCCTAACCTCCAATCCTTCTCACCACTCGATCTTATCAACTTGCTTCTCATACATCATACTTCTTACCTTGCTTCTCATATCTCATTCTTCCCACCTTCCTTCTCATATCTCATTCTTCCCACCTTCCTTCTCATATCTCATTCTTCCCACCTTCCTTCTCATATCTCAGTCTTCCCACCTTGCTTCTCATATCTCATTCTTCCCACCTTCCTTCTCATATCTCAGTCTTCCCACCTTGCTTCTCATATCTCATTCTTCCCACCTTCCTTCTCATATCTCAGTCTTCCCACCTTGCTTCTCATATCTCATTCTTCCCACCTTCCTTCTCATATCTCAGTCTTCCCACCTTGCTTCTCATATCTCAGTCTTCCCACCTTGCTTCTCATATCTCAGTCTTCCCACCTTCCTTCTCATATCTCATTCTTCCCACCTTCCTTCGCATATCCCAGTCTTCCCACCTTCCTTCTCATATCTCAGTCTTCCCACCTTGCTTCTCATATCTCAGTCTTCCCACCTTCCTTCTCATATCTCAGTCTTCCCACCTTCCTTCTCATATCTCAGTCTTCCCACCTTGCTTCTCATATCTCAGTCTTCCCACCTTCCTTCTCATATCTCATTCTTCCCACCTTCCTTCGCATATCCCAGTCTTCCCACCTTCCTTCTCATATCTCAGTCTTCCCACCTTGCTTCTCATATCTCAGTCTTCCCACCTTCCTTCTCATATCTCAGTCTTCCCACCTTGCTTCTCATATCTCAGTCTTCCCACCTTGCTTCTCATATCTCATTCTTCCCACCTTCCTTCTCATATCTCAGTCTTCCCACCTTGCTTCTCATATCTCAGTCTTCCCACCTTGCTTCTCATATCTCAGTCTTCCCACCTTCCTTCTCATATCTCATTCTTCCCACCTTCCTTCGCATATCCCAGTCTTCCCACCTTCCTTCTCATATCTCAGTCTTCCCACCTTGCTTCTCATATCTCAGTCTTCCCACCTTCCTTCTCATATCTCAGTCTTCCCACCTTGCTTCTCATATCTCAGTCTTCCCACCTTCCTTCTCATATCTCATTCTTCCCACCTTCCTTCGCATATCCCTGTCTTCCCACCTTCCTTCTCATATCTCAGTCTTCCCACCTTGCTTCTCATATCTCAGTCTTCCCACCTTCCTTCTCATATCTCAGTCTTCCCACCTTGCTTCTCATATCTCAGTCTTCCCACCTTGCTTCTCATATCTCATTCTTCCCACCTTCCTTCTCATATCTCAGTCTTCCCACCTTGCTTCTCATATCTCAGTCTTCCCACCTTGCTTCTCATATCTCAGTCTTCCCACCTTCCTTCTCATATCTCATTCTTCCCACCTTCCTTCGCATATCCCAGTCTTCCCACCTTCCTTCTCATATCTCAGTCTTCCCACCTTGCTTCTCATATCTCAGTCTTCCCACCTTCCTTCTCATATCTCAGTCTTCCCACCTTCCTTCTCATATCTCAGTCTTCCCACCTTGCTTCTCATATCTCAGTCTTCCCACCTTCCTTCTCATATCTCATTCTTCCCACCTTCCTTCGCATATCCCAGTCTTCCCACCTTCCTTCTCATATCTCAGTCTTCCCACCTTGCTTCTCATATCTCAGTCTTCCCACCTTCCTTCTCATATCTCATTCTTCCCACCTCCCTTCTCATTTCTCATTCTTCCCACCTTTCCTTCTCATTTCCCATGTCTGCTCCGGCTGCTGCTACAACTGCTGCTACAAATGTACTGATTCTCGCTGCCCCCACCTCTTCTTCCACTACCACTGCTCTCACTCTCCCTCCTCCCCCTCCTCCTCCTCCTCCTCCCCCTCCTCCTCCTCCTCCTCATCCTCCTCCTCCTCCTCCTCCTCCTCCTCCTCCTCCTCCTCCTCCTACCCCTCCCTCCCCCTCCCTCCCTCTCCAAATCCCTTTCTTGCTTCTGAGGAGGCTTTGGAGTTAGGGGGGAGGGGGAACTAGGAAAGGTGGATGCAGGAGAGGAGCAGAAGCAAGCAGACAGGGGGATGCGGAAAGGAGAGAGGGGGGGGGCGGAAAAGAGAGGGGGGGTGTGGAAAAGGAGAGGGGGGATGCGAAAAAGAGGGGGAAAGCGGAAAAAAAAAGGGGAAAGCAAAAACAGGGAAGAAGCGTGTGAGGGGGGAGAGAAGGAGAGAGAGGGGGAGCAGAAAGAGAGGGGGGAGTGGAAAAGGTATGCGGAAAAGGTATGCGGAAAAGGTATGCGGAAAAGGTATGCGGAAAAGGTATGCGGAAAAGGTATGCGGAAAAGGTATGCGGAAAAGGTATGCGGAAAAGGTATGCGGAAAAGGTATGCGGAAAAGGTATGCGGAAAAGGTATGCGGAAAAGGTATGCGGAAAAGGTATGCGGAAAAGGTATGCGGAAAAGGTATGCGGAAAAGGTATGCGGAAAAGGTATGCGGAAAAGAGGGAGGAGGCGGTAAGGAGAGTGGGGAAGTGAAAAGAGAGGGGGGATCGAACAAGAGAGAGGGGAAATGAAAAGTGAGAAGTGAAGCAGATGGGAAGGGAGCCCTCAAGCATTTTCTGAGGGTAGGCCACAAGAGGATGGGGGACATGAATGGAGGTAGGAGAGGAGGCAGGAGCAAGCACAAGGGGGAGGCAGATAAGGCAGGAGCCCCTCAGCAGTGAGTGAGAATTTTGAAGAAAACGCGTGCAATATCAGAGAGGAGCCTGTGAGTAGACTCATTCTCCCTTATAAATGCTGATATGCTGGAGGCAGGTCAAAATATTCTATACTACAGGCGGATCAGAGGGAACCCTTCTGAGGTGCTTGAAGAAACAGCTTTTGAGGCGTCTGCAAAGTAGCTGGAGGTGGGTCAGCACCTCTCATATTGCAAGCGGATAACAGTGGATTTTGTGAGATTTTGGGAGGAGCAAGGTGAGGCGATTGGCTCGGTAGATGAGGGTCATGATGGATGGATGTGACTTTTGAGTCTATCCAAGAATCACTTGAGGGAGGACCCTGTGAGATGCTGAAAGGGGCGAGGCATGAATCAATCAGTCAACAGACGAGGGTTGGGACTCAGGAGGGATGTGCGGGGTTCTGCAAGGAGGGGTTGCAATGGAAGCACCGCAATGGGGGGACTGCAATGGGGGGACCACAAGGGAAGAACTGCTAAGGAGGGAACTGCTAAGGGGGGAACTGCTAAGAGGGGAAGCTGCAAATGATGCCTCAAAAATGTGAACAAGATACCCTTGCCCTTGTGATTCGCTAAACTGGCCAGATTCTTTTTAGCGAAAGTGATCAGAAAGTGATCTGATATATGTCAGAGCACTAAACTCAGGGTGGTCAAGCGAAATAAAAACAAACAAATGCACCCATATTTGAGAACAATTGTCTACAGTGCGGCCACCCGCCCACCTTTATTTGCCTTACAGGAAAGGCCATCCGCTAGGGGCACGGACTGAAACGGGGCCGACTAATCCCCCCCTTCCATCCAAAACAAACCGGTCCATCCGAACCTAACCTCGCATCCTGCAGCCCCCAGCCACCCAACAACCAGTTTCGAAGTTGTAAGAACTTCCACCCTACCAACAAATCTACCACTCCACTGGTTTAGGGTTGCAAGAAGTTGATTCCACCCTCTCCACAAATCTACCTACCAACAGTCTCAAGAGTCCAAAGCCGTACGTTGTGCCACTAGGACGCGGTCCTCTTAGGCAGCAGCGGCGGCGTAGCTCGCGTATTTGCAGTCGGGCGCGACGACAGACGACGAAATGTAATCCTCGACCTGCCCGTCCAGGAAGCCCTGCCCGTCCGCCTTGTCCAAGTCCACGGGGCGGTGCAGCAGCGCCGCCAGCATCGAGTACTTCACGGCGCGCTTCAGCTGCTCCGCCGTGTTCCTAAACGTCTGCCCCAGCACGCCGTGCACGGCTGACGTCATCTTCACGTCCGACAGCTCCACGTTGAAGTGCGCCTCCGCCTCCGCCGGCGTCTGCAGCAGCGGGTGCGCCACGCGCACGCGCACGTCGAGCTCCCCCAGCCCCGCCACGCGCACCTGGAACCGATCCACGTCGAACGGCCCCTCTTTCGCCGCCTCCGCGATTTTAGTTACTTCCAACCCGCTTTCCGTCGCGATCGACTCGCCAACGGTGGGAGGCGCCGTGGGCTGGCCGTCGATCTCAATGAGCGACACGAAGCCGTCGCTGCCGCGCTCCTGCTGCTTGCCCTTGCGCGCAACCATGCGCAGCGTGTGGTTCGCGCCGTCGGGCGTCATCCACACCACGCCGAGCTCCTTAATCCACGTGTGCAGCTCCGTGCTCGTCTCCTTGTCCTTATTCGCCGACGCCGACGCGGGAAGCGCGGGCGGCGTGCCCTGGTACCCGTCGAGCAGCATTGACGTGGAACCGACAGTCGGAAAAGAGGCAGAAGGACTTATTGAGCCGGCCGGTGAAGTCGTAGTGCGTTCCGTGAGCGCCCGTGAGATGCGGGTCGTTTTCGACGAGCGCCGTGCCGTTGCAGAGCCCGCCGACGAAGCTCAGCGGGTATTTGGCCGCGTTTGCCGTCTGCTCCGCGGTGCTCCCCGCGTATGGCGTCTTGAAGGACCCTGACGTGCCCGTGCCGCCATTCTTCTCCAGCAGGTAGCACTGCACGCGGTCGATGAAGCCCTTCACGTTCACGTTCTCGCCAGCCAGACGAGTGCTGTGGAGAGCGGTGAAAAATGGGGAAACGAAGGCAGCAAAAGAAACGAATTTAGTCAGCTTCGGATATTTCAGCAAGGTGAAAACGGAAAACGCTACTTCGCTGAAAGGAATTGGCCTTAATTCATACGTAACCTAACCTCAGGACTACTAATCTAGGAGATGGTGCTCACTTCTTGAACCAGTGCCACTGGTAGCAGTAGGTGGATCGAGCGCACGCGCGGCAGCACTCCTGAAGTGTATCGCCATACACACCCTTCACGATGTCGAAAACGGTCCCCACCTCCGTGTACCGCTCGAAATTCACGGAGCCGGACCCGCGCTGATGTGGTGTGTATTTCCCGCCCTGTCTGTTGAACTGTCCAAAGTATTCGCCAATGTTTTTGTAACTGGTGAACGTGGACTGGGTGATTGTCGCAGTAGCGAGGTTGTCAATGTAGGGGCACACATAGCGGGTGTGGCAACCAGCGGCGGGCATGTTTGTTGCCGAGGCGATATGCACAAGGCCAACCAGCACAAGCAGGGCGAATTGGCCGTTGGGGAATGCCATCGTCGCAAAAGACTTGCACTTCTGAAAAACTGGGAGTGTGAGTGAGGCGAACGAAGTGATTGAATGGTTGATTGCTTTGCCGCTAGTCTCTTTATACAGCTAATGCTCGTTAGAGCCCCTCCCGGTTGCCTTGTGAAGGGGGACTGTAAGCTAAAACGTCATTTCGTCTGTTCGTCGAGGGTTTCGTCAGGCTTTGCGCATGCATTTAACGCGCACATGGTTACCACTCACTTTGTCCGTTATGTAATAGTGTCGGGTGGCACCTATTGTCACATGTGCGCGTTACCGAAATCCTTACGAAAGCAGAACAAACGCGTAAAGCAACATCAACATTTGTTCAACTTAGATTGAAACAGCTGACACACAAAGCCGGGCCAATCACAATCTACCACATGGCCATTCACCCCCGAGCTCCACAACATCCCCTCTACTGCAAATGTGACCGTTATGTGCACAATCCCAACACTTATCAAATCCTCAGAAACTCCCCGATCCCAACCTTCAACTCCTGCTCGTGAGTCCAACATTCCAACTCACACCTGCATCCATTCTGCCGCCTCCACGTACCCGCCCATCGCGGCGCCAACCCCGCCGTCCAGAAGCTGCTGACGGCGGGACGGCTGGGTCATCCAGCCAGGCAGCACTCGGCCCCGCGGACGCGGGGTGTCAGGCGGCGGAGTTGCGAAAGGCGAAAGCCTGGGCGGCGGGGCCGTGTTGAGATTGAGCGCGGGGCTTGCCCGCTTGACAGCAGCCATGTCGGCGCTCGCCGCCTCGCCGGTGGCGGCACGGCATCGCACTCCCTGGCGCCGCAACGCACGGCGCACCCAGCCAATGGAGCAACGGAACACGGGCGGAATGCCCATGTTGCGCGCCATGGTCGCCACGTGGTCGCGGATCGTCTGCAGAGTGAGTGGTGTCAAAAGAAGAGACTGGGGTGGTAGAACTGCCAACCAGGGGCGTCCGGGACAAAGCCAAGGAAGACGCAGGGGACAGCGCGACGGGAGAGCTTGTCCGCGGACGTGTCGCGGACAAAAGCTCGGGATCCCCAGACCCGAAAACGCGACGCATCGCCAGCCTCTCCCGTCCAACGCAGTGTCGGAGAAGTCTCGGGCAAGGAGACACGGGGCCAGAGGTTGAGCTGATGCGCAGCGTATCGGACTGCAAACGGCCACAGAAAATGGGGGGCAGCCGCATGGCTCAAGGAGGTACGAGCGACCTCCATGACCAGACCAATGCGGCGCTCAGCAACCCCATTCTGCTGTGGAGAGTCCGGAAGCGTGTACGACTGCTCAATGCCCTCCTGCTGACAGAAGGCCTCCAATAGGCCAGAGGAGAACTCCCCACCTCTGTCAGAGTGCAGACGTAGGACAGGGAAGTCGGAGCGGAAACGCTCACGGAGCTGGAGACGAGATCTGCGGATCCAAGGGATCAAGACCTCAGGGACGTCACCCTTGGCGCGCAAGGGGAAGACCGTGGTGTAGCGCGAGAAGTCGTCAACAACAATCAGGAAGTACCTCTCCTGACCCTGACCACGGACGCGGGCTGGGCCCCACACGTCCATGTGGAGCGTCTGCAAGGGGGCAGTCGTCGGGGGAAAGGAGGAGGAGTGAGGAGCGGCGCGCTGCCGTCCCTCGACACAGGGAATACAGGGAGGAGCAGGCGAGTCGGGAAGGGGAGGGAGCACCCTGGGAAGACCAGCAACAAGGTCCCGCTGGTGCATGGCCCGAAGGCGCTGCACAGACGGGTGACCAAGGCGGTGGTGCCAAAGGACAGTCTCATGTGCCAGAGAGCGACACGAGCAGGGGGCGGACAGCTGACCTGACGCAGACGCAGACGCAGACGCAGCTACCTGAGGGGACACAGTGGTCAGTGTGTAAAGGTCCGACCCCGGCTCTCGAGTGAAGGTAGCCAGGTGGCGACCCGTCCGAGCACACGTGCAGTGTGTCACGCGCTCGTAGGCAGGGGTGAACTGGTGAACACCGCCGTCCTGGAGCGCACTACCTGCCACCAAGTTCGTAGAGAACGAGGGGAGGTAGAGACCTGACAGCGTGCCGGACGGGACGGCCGGACAAGGAAGGACAGTGGAGGAGGTCGCAATGACCGGACCCCCAGAGGGGTCAGCAAGGGAGACAGCAACTGGCCGAGCGAGGGGCTCAAGGACAGTGCGGTCACGAAAGAAAGAGCGAGAAGCACCTGAGTCCAGTGTGAAGGTGTGCAGTGCTGCAGTCGACTCAGTACCAGGGGGCACAGACGCACTAGCACCTAGGGCAGCAGCCTCACCAGGACCTGCGGGAGCGGACGCACTAGCACCTAGAGCGGCAGCTGGACTGGCCTGAATACCCGGGTCAGGCGGAACACGCAAGTACTGAGCACCCTCTCCACTAATAGACATCGCATACATGGCAGTGAGAATAGCATCAAAGTCTAAAGCCCAAATATCAACGCCCCTCTTTTCCAGCTCAGGCCAGCGCGGCAGCTCAGCGGCAGTAGGAAACTGGGTGCGCCACGCGTCGGTAAGGCGGGCGAAGCAGCGCTGCGTGGGGTGCGGCCTCCCACACTGCTGGCCGCGGCGGTCACCTGTGCGAATGACGTACGTGCAGGTAACGCTACGCTGCGCATACCACTCACGGGCGGCCTGAAGCGTCGGGGCGGACTGCTGACTCTGCCCTCCGCCAGTGCCCCCACGACCACCACCCCCTCCGCCTCCGCCCCGGCCACCTCCACCCCTGCCGCCACCACGACCACCTCCGCCTCCGCTGTCGCCTCCGCCCCTGCCACCACTCCCGCCGCTGCTGTCGCCTCCCCCACTACCGCCACTAGCCTCCTCAGCCGCGCCTCCACTCCCACCGCCTCCACCCCCACCTCCTCCGCCGCCACCCCCGCCCCTGCCCCCTTTGCCCCTGCGGCGCCCGCTCGAAGCAGACGCGGTCCCGACCTTCTCAGCACCAAGGAGGTCGACAGCAGCAGCAGAGGCGACAGAGGGGAGGAGGGGGGAAGGGGAACACCCCTCGAAGAACGGGGTGCGGGGGTCATCACGAGAGGTGCCTACAGCGACGATGCTCGCCTCAGCTGCAAGCAGTTCCTTCTCGAGGAGGGCAACAGTGAGCTCAGTGGGGGAGCGAGAGAGGAAGTGGTCCCTGACTGCGCGCAGAGAGTCAGGGAGGCGGGTGACGATGTGGTAGAGAGTGATCCAGAGCGGGGGGGGGTTGCTAGTGAGAAACTCGGCAGGCATAGCAGCGCGAAAGCGGGCCTCACTAGTCTTAAGGTGGGTGATGAGGTCTGCGACAGTGTGAAAGGAGGCTAGGTCGGGGAACAGGTAGGGAAGAGTGAGGCGGCCTAGCGTAGCAGAAGCGGGTGAGGAGTAACGGGCAACTACAGCGGTGTAGAGGTCCCTAGCAGTCTTGCACTGGCCAAAGTGCTCGCGCTCATCTAACGGCAGGGAGTTGCGGATGGCAAAGCGAGCGTGGGCGTCACGAGTCTGCCACTGTGAGCGGGTAGTGCTGTCAGCATCAGTAGCAGGGGCAGGAGCATGGCCGAGGGCGTGGTCATACAGTGAGATATCCTCCTTGGCAGTGAGCTGTAGGAAGAGGTGCAGGTCATCAAGCCAAGTATCAAACTTCACTGGGCGGCCCTCAGCATCGAAAGCTAGTACAGGCGGGGTAGCCATAGTAGCAGTAGGAGTAGCCGTAGCAGTAGCAGTAAGTGAGTCCTAAACGCAGTGGGCAGCGCGACGGAGGTAGGGCGGCTCGGTCCAGAGAAGTTGCTCAGTGCGGGCGGCGCGGCTCGGTTCTGGCTGCTCGGCTCGGCTCGGACTGGGCGGCTCGGTTCGGGCGGCCTGTTGCTGGCGGGGCCGCGGCTGTCGCGTGCGGTGCGGGTAGGGGCGGCGGGTAGGGTCGACGGAGCCGCTTTGGGGCGGCGGATAGGGTCGACGGGGCCTCTAAGCGGGGCGCGCGCGGGGTCGACGGGTCAAGCGGGGCCGTAAGCGGGGCGCGTGCGGGTCGACGGGGCCAAACGGGGCCGTAAGCGGGGCGCGCGCGGGTCGACGGGGCCAAACGGGGCCACTAAGCGGGGCGCGCGCGGGGTCGACGGGGCCAAACGGGGCCGTAAGCGGGGCGCGTGCGGGTCGACGGGGCCAAACGGGGCCTCTAAGCGGGGTGCGGGCGGGTCGACGGGGCCAAACGGGGCCACTAAGCGGGCCGCGGGCGGGTCGACGGGGCCAAACGGGGCCGTAAGCGGGGCGCGCGCGGGTCGACGGGGCTAAACGGGGCCACTAAGCGGGCCGCGGGCGGGTCGACGGGGCCAAACGGGGCCTTAAGCGGGGCGCGCGCGGGTCGACGGGGCCTCTAAGGAGCGACGCGCGGGTCACTAAGGGGCGGCGCGCGGGGTCAACGAAGCCTTAAGGGGCCGTACACGAGGGCGCACTAGGGCGCTGAGAGGGGGAGGCGCTAACGCAGCACTCCGACAGTAGATAGGTAGGTAGGTATTCAGTGGTGGGCCCTAAGAACGGTCCTAGCGAAGGACCTGCTCTGAAACCATGTCAAAAAGAAGAGACTGGAATGATTGAACTAACAGAGAAATCAGTACAAATAGCAAACCCTAGAATTGTGTACCCCATATAGGCTAACCCACTATAGCCTAACAAACCCAACATATATAATGTTTGACAAGTGGTACGCCCGCGGGGCCAGCGTTGGCGATCCAGCGCGCCATGGCCTGCTCAAGCTCAGGCCATGCGCCACCTCGACGGCGCACTTGATTAGCGGCAGTGGGTTCGGTGAGCGCCCAACGGTCGGCATTCTTCAAGATGCGGCCGACCGTCGAGCGGTCAGGTCGCAGGCCATACTGGGCGTAAACCCAGCGGGCGAGATCTACGTGACGCAGGCGAGGGTGCTCGACGTGATGCGCGCATAATGCGCGCTTGATGTGCAGCGGAAGCTGCTCACGGCGATTAAACCGCGGCATGGTGGGAGGCGGTGACGGGAAAAGAGCGATGCTTTGGTGACTCTGTGCATCGAATTTTAACTTTGGTTGGAGGACGAGGCTGATCGGTGCGGGGGCCTGTTTGGTGTGGAGGGTTTGTTTCGTGTGGTGGCTGTTCGTTGCATGCACCCTGCTTACAATTTCGAACATGTGGTTGGGTTACCACCTCGGTGAAAATCTGAGGGAAAATATGTCAATGGTAACAAACATGGGGCACTGTAACGCGTACGGTAACGATTTCAACGCGTTTGGTAACTCGCTTAACGCGTTTGGTAACTTGCTTAACACGTTTAGTCACTCGCTTAACACATTTGGTAACTCTACACTAGCAGCCCATCACGCGAATGGTAACTAAATGAAATTCCCGCCGAAATGAGCCTGAAAAAGAGGAATTTATCGATTTGGAAAGCTTTTACGCATAGTATTATTCATTTGAACAAAGTCCCGCCGCGAATTTGAAGGACCCCGTTTGTTCTAATACCACAGACCACAAAGATTTAGGGCCATTATATATATATATATATATATATATATATATGAGCTCGTACAAAAATGGTTAAATTCTAAAATTTAATAGCATGGATTGCGAACTTGCAAAACGATTAAAAAAAAATCAGAAAGGACCTTGGGAATTTTACCGTTTATAATTAATGCAACGTTGGAGAATTTTTGCACGTGGGAAAAAACACTCCTCTTGAAAATTAAATGTTTCGTATTTCAAATAAAGAACCATAAACGCCTGGTCGCAAGAAGTTTAAGTTTGTTTCTCTCAGATTTATCTGCCATTTGAAAGGAGTATAGATTTGTTTGCCCCGGCTGCACGATAGAAAAAAGTACTAAAGTTTGCGGAAGGAGCGCCAGAATTTTAATTATGTATGAACAGATATTTTCACAACACTTCTGTTTTTGCAATATTTTTGAAAATCGGAAAGTGTGTCAGGATTTCGGAGAGTGTGTCAGAATTTCGGAAAACAGTGTCAGAATTTCGGAGAGTGTGTCAGAGGTTCCTGCTTCAGAATTCGTCAAATTTTTCTGAAGCGAGCGGGAAAAACCAGAATCAGGCTCAATTTCGGCGGGAATTTCATGTAGTTACCATTCGCGTGATGGGCTGCTAGTGTAGAGTTACCAAATGTGTTACGCGAGTGACCAAACGTGTTAAGTGAGTTACCAAACGCGTTAAGCGAGTTACCAAACGCGTTGAAATCGTTACCGTACGCGTTACAGTGCCCCATGTTTGTTACCATTGACATATTTTCCCAAAATCTGACGTGGGGTAGGCGAACAACGCCTGGTTGTTAATGGGCTTGTACCCCACAAGTGCGAAATACACGTGGCAGCGTGCACCAGCCCAGATGTCTGTTACACGCACCATGATCCTCGCCTAGGTGGCGGGGCAGGTGTGCGAATGCATTTACGAAACCACGTTCATTTCGTCCACTCGTTTCGTCAGGTTGACTCCTGGCCTAGAAACAAGGGAGACATGGGTCGGCACTGCTTGTAGTGGTCTGCACGTGGGGGGGTGGCCGGGCCGCGTGCACTGTAGTTAGCCATCCAGGTGCCTGTACATGGGGTGCATCAAGCAGGGGTTTCGACCTCGGGGGCAGCGTGTCCATCCGGTGCATGGCAAATTCGCGTGCACTGGTCGGGCATCATGTGTATCGTAGACTTGCAACTCCTTATCAGTGATAAGTTATCATGCTCACTCCTGATTGGTTAGGAAGATGTACGGTCAAGAGGGTGATGGAGTCGAGTGATGATGAATCTGGTTTGAATTTGGATCTAGAGGGACTGTTCATACTCTACAGTGTTGTTGTTGGTGGGGAGTGAGTGGCCAGCCTATCGAGATAGTAGGGCGAAAGATAGAACAGAGAAGAGGGCTTTGTACTAGCAGCATGCAAGGTACATATAGGAAACCCTAATTTGGGTTGTACTCGCTATAGAGTACCCCACTGCAGGCTAGACAATTACAACATTCTGACACACCCCCATAGCCAAAGTGGGGTGTAATCAGCACAAATAACCAGTCATAGATCAAGTCCACAAATGCAAGTAAAGCTAGAGGCAGTCACAGAGGGCAAGTGAGGAGGAGGAGAGACTGTGAGGGGCGATCTGCTGCAGGCGATGGGCGAAGCTGCAGACACAACGGGCAACAGGAGCGGCGTGCACAGTGGCTACCGAGCGCACGAGGGCACCGGACTACGGGAGTATCTGGCTCCGCGGCTACGACGAGCACACACAGGAGCAACTGACCCACAGGCGACTGGCGAAGCAGGCTCGCTGGGCTACCGAAACGCGCGAGGGCATCCGGACTACTGGCGCTGCTAGCGTCACGACGGCTACCTCCACGCAACCTCCCCCGACCGTCCCACGCCCCTCTCACACACCCCCTGCTGACACCCTAGCTCCACTTCCACGACACCCCCCTTAAACCCTAAACCTCGGCTCCCACACATCCACCCCCCTCAGCGGCAGCTGCAGCAGTGGGAGACGGAGGAGGAGGAGGAGCAGGGGACGGCGCACACACACGGCACCCCCATAGCTGCCACCCCCACACTCCTCACCCCCAAACCCTAAAACGGGTGGGATAGGGGCAGGAGCGCGGGGGATGGTGAGGGGGGATGGCGCGCGACCCCCAGGGCGCCAGAACGGACGGGCTGGGCGGGTGGAGGGGGGTGGCGCGCGCTGCTCCCCAGGGCGCCGCGGCGGACGGGCGGGGGGGACGCGCGCGCAACTCCCCAGGGCGCCGCGACGGCCTGGCGGGGCGCACGCGGGCTCCCGAGGGCGCCGCGACGAACTGGCGGGGCGAGCGCGGGCTCCCCAGGACGTCGCGACGAACGGGCGGGGCGTTCGCGGGCTCCCCAGTGCGTCGCGACGGACGGGCGGGGCGCTCGCGGGCTCCCCAGGGCGTCGCGACGAACGGGCGGGGCGCTCGCGGGCTCCCCAGGGCGTCGCGACAGACGGGCGGGGCGCTCGCGGACTCCCCAGGGCGTCGCGACGTGCAAGGTGGGGGCCGCGCGTGCTCCCCAGGGCGCCACGACGGACGGGCGGGGCGCGCGCGCGGGCTCCCCCACGGCAGGAAACCGCCGCGCGCGCTCGGGGCGTGCGGCGGGATGAAAATGTGAAGGTCGCGCGCCACGGGGCGCGCGACACAGAGTAGGGCAGCGGAAGCAGCAGTGGGGCCCACAGGCCAGGAGCGTGAACGCTCTGATACCATATCGAGATAGTAGGGCGAAAGATAGAACAGAGAAGAGGGCTTTGTACTAGCAGCATGCAAGGTACATATAGGAAACCCTAATTTGGGTTGTACTCGCTATAGAGTACCCCACTGCAGGCTAGACAATTACAACATTCTGACACAGCCATGTGCGAATCGCAGATGTCAACAATAGGCGTCAGGGCTTACCGCACATTTTCGCATTGTACCGAAGCTATATATACATAAACCGTCTGTGCCCCTCAAAACCCCCAAATGCGACTCCGCTCCGCGACGGTCTGTACGGGTGTCCGCCGCATGGTGCTAGACGGTCTGTACGGTCTGGACGGTCTGTACGGTCTATTGTTGCTGGACATTATTCTACACCACTCTACCTTCGGCAAACCTTGATGCTTGGGCTTGTGTTGTGAACTTGTGATACTCTTATGAATAATTGAATCATCATAAAGTTTGCGCAAATAATGAAATAACGA